AAGCAAAGAAAAGCTTTGTATTTTATTAGTAAACCATTTGGGACCTTCTGGCCAAATCATGGCCAGAACTCCAGGCATATTTGTTTCTTCGTAAGTTGTGCTCGACACAAAACCTCRTGATACTCGTAACAGAGTAATGTAGTGATCCATGATGACACAAAGCACTGCTAATTTCTGAGAGTGTTTTTCCACTTTCAAAACAATGATATAATCAATGCAGAATAGGGTTTGGTTGCAGCCAYTGCCAATAATTTTATTGTTTTTGTTTTTAAGCAGTTGGCTGTAAACTCTTCTTTGGTGAATTCCATCCTTTTCGGTATCACTAAATATTAAAACAGCATCTGTATATTTTAGTTTGGAGTTAGATAGCTGAAGCAAAAACCAAACTGTGGATTTTTAATCAGTTTGATTTTACATTTTTGTATTTAAGATTGAAAAACAGAAAATAAAAACAATGGAGTTGTTTTCTTTTTGAGATTTTGTTTTGAAAGGGAAAAACCAAAGAGCAAACTAGACGGGCTATGAATTCTAGATCATCCTTATATTACAAGTGGTTCGAGAATATGGCTTCATTTGTATTGCAAATAAACACACACACACACACACACACACACACACACACACACACACACACACACACACACACACACACACACACAGAGAGAGAGAGAGATGATTACACAATTTCCTGCCCATTATGGCAGTGGGCAATTAGGATGCTTATCTGGACAAGGAAAACTCCAAAACAATACATTTATGCTCACTGACACAACAAATCATTTGCACAGATTCAAAATAACACTTCTTAAGCCCTAAAATTCATTTTATGTATTATTAAAAACTTTATTAATTTATTAACTTTTAATTTGAAGCTTATAGTGCACCATTTTTTTATTTCAGAGATCATTTTTTACATTGATTTAAGCTCCTCAGCTAAAAAATTCAAACATTTGTGGAAACAGTTCAGACATGAAGGTCTATCCTTACGTGTGCGTAGCTCAGGAAAAACAGCTGATTGTTGTTCAGTTCCACTCCTGGCAGCAGAGGCTCCTCCACACCTCCTCTGCTCTCATCCACCCACCGCCTGTAAGCCTACACACAATCACAGAAAGAAACATTTTCTCACCTTGACTTCCTAATGGGATGGGAATAAGTGAATCATGCTGAAGTGGGTGTAACTAATCATAGCCCTCTTTACTTTAATATACAATGGGTTAAAATGTCTGCTCTTAGGAAGGTCTATTAAGCAGCTCTTTTGATTATTCTCTTGAATTTACATACCCTGAATGCTTCTCTTATTCCCCCGTTGTCTGCTATGTTTTCTGCTAGTGTTCTCTTACCGCGCACCTGCAGCACAACACATTCATGTGTTACATCATTTTTAATTGCAGCCTTCTAAAATCATCATGTTATTTTCAGGGCATATTAATTTTACATTTCTGTAAAAAAAAAATAGGATTTGCCCCTTTACATATTTCTTCAGTTTTTGCTTMTTGCTTGTCAAACTTCCACATTTCAGACCATAACAGATAACTTGAGTAAATACCAAATGCTTAATGACTCACTGCGCCACAGTTAGTGGCAACAACCACAAGCAAGAATTTGCAATAGGTGGCAATAATTCTTRCACATTTACTCTAGATGTAGCAAGAAGTTCAAAAAAGTTTTGCTTTTGTGTCGTCAGTCAGGAGAAAACAATTTTTTCCAAAGTCGTGGGCATTATCAGATTATTTTTTAGTTTTTGATCAGTGTTGGTTTTGGCCAACTCTTCCATAGAGGCCATTTTCAACCTTTATCGCTTTCATAGGACTGAATCATAAACTTGACCTTAAATTAGGTCAGGCTTGCAGAGCTTTAGATGTTGTCCTGTGTTCTTTTAGAACCTCCTGGATAATTCGACAAGGCGCTCTTGGAGTAATGTTGGTTGACCGGTCACTCATGAGATAATTCATTATGATTCCATGTTTTTCTCCATTTGTGGATAACTTTTGGCWGTAATCAGGTCTGAGTGTGCATGCTTACTGTGGGGGGAGTCACAATGGAGATGGTGTCTCTCTTAATAAATTAATACATTTCWAAAAATATTGTAAAGCATGTAGCATTTGCATTTTATCTTTGTCTGATGTTGTAATTTCTTGACCGAAAACATTTTGTGGACCAAAAAAGAAAAACTGAAGAGATTTTTCACAGCACTGCGCAGTAACTTTACAAGCCTCAAACTTTATGTTTTCTCACATTTAATCCAGCTTGCTCCCAGTAGTAGTTGTTGTACTGATCAATCATACACTGAGTTTTCTCAGTGAACGCTGCTACAGAGGACGTACTCCACCACTGGTCCAGATTGCCATTTTTGTCATATTTGCGACCTGTTAGCAATCAATCAATCAATCAATCAATCAATCCATCCATCCATAAATAAATAAATAAATAAATACATAGCAGTAATTCACTGAGTTTTATTTCTCCTATGCTGTACAGACTTTTGTTTAAGTCATTGTTGTCTTTTGCTTTTACCGTTATTGTCAAAGCCGTGAGTTAACTCATGGCCAACTATCACCCCAATGGCACCATAACTTAAAGATCTGTGAAGCAAAATATTAGAATCATGATTATTCATGAACAGTACAAGGAAATAATACTGAATAAAACATAATTTTAAAAAGATGTGAAATTATTGTATCAAAGAAAATTATTTTAGACAGAACTAGAAGTTGCAAGATTAAAAACAATTAAAAATAAACAGGCAATCAATCGTTATCAAGTAGCTAACAAATTAGTTTTGTTTCTTTTTTGGTAACTAAATTTGATCGCATAGTGATGAAAGCCAAATGTTAAGAAAAGCTGCAATACAAAAGACCAAATGAAACATTAAAATGTTTTTAATAGATATTACAAACAAATGAACTTTCATGACATTAAAAACAAGTTCATGAAAGAGCATTTCAAGCTGTTTTACTATTTTGAGAGGTTCTTTTTTTCTAGCCTCTGTGGAGAATAAAGCATAAAATTCTGCCCTCTGGACAGGTTGAGTTTCTGCAGCTCATTTCAGAAAAATAAAGTCAGCAATTACTTTTACTGAGAAAAGTACACATAAAGGATTTTCTTTAGTCTAGTAGAGCATGTCCCATTTATTCAGTCTCACCTTGGATACTCTCTTCCCCAGAAGAAGGGTTTTTGAAGCTCTCCTGCAGGGAATCCTACAAAAAAAGTGTGGAAAATTACTTTAACAAATCTACTCTCCTCAACTCTAGATATTTTTGTTCTTAAAAGAAATCTTACATTTTCCAAAAACAAACAAAAAAAAAAAAGAAAAGAAAAAAATCGTCTGCATTTTAGAGAGTAACCAGATCTTACTGATTTGATTGGTTGATGAACTGTAGAATGCGTTAACGGTTGTTGGGTTTGTAAACCACCTGGGGATGAAAAAAAAGATAAATTAAATTTAGTAGGAGTGTGAAACACAACAACCCACACAGCGAGTACCGACTCACTCTGTTCGTGGGACGCTCCTTCTCAGCCAGTAGACATCAGACTGGGCAATAAACTTCAGCGTCTGCATCACATTACCGTAGTAATCCTTTTCACTGAAGTCCAGCTAAAACACGCATAAAAGTAAATGAGTTGATCTTTTTTTAATCAAAGTCCACCCTAACTTAACATGTGTTCATTTACTTCTCCTTAAGTGTTTTTTTATAGTGAACAAGTGGAAAAATAAATTTAGTTTTTTATAAAAAGCTAGAAGTCAGACAACGACTATAAAGTTTATCATATTTTTCTTTGAAAATGATTTCTTAAATATCCATCTGTGTTTTTTAAAGGTCTAAATTRAAACAAACAACATGAATAAAGCAAACAACAGTGCTTTATAATTACAATTGATCATCTTTCACTGGTGTCACACAAACCTGTTTCAGATCTTCAGAGAGGTAGGTATCATTCAAAATAAACTCTGGGTATCCAACCTTAGGCAGGACTGCATGAGCCTTTATAGTAAAAAATAATAATAATAATTACCGGTAAATAAATAAAATAAAAAGTTTGAAACACAAACTGTCATAAATGTTGTAATAAAATGTATTGAGTTAATTATGAGTGTGCTAAATTAATAAATTTGACAAAAGTTTACAGGTAATAGAGAGGTGACAATGATGTTTGTGTTTCTCAACAATGAGTTTGGAATGATACAGAAATGTAAGTCTTATATATATTGATGTGAACTCTTCTGTGAAGTTATAATACTTGTTATTTACAATTAATTTTTAGCTTTCATTTGATAATAGATAGCTCTTTTGACTCAGAGCTGAAGGCTAGTTTACCTTTTCTATGGCTCTCCTTTTAGTTTGTTGGTCCATCCAATCATTTTCCTTCTCCAGCATGTCAATAAATGCCCAACGAATGCCGTCTATTAGCTCCTCCATCTGAAATGTGAAYTTAAAGTGTGTGAACAACACAAATGATTACATTTATAATACAATTTGAAAAAAAAACCCATCTATACAGAAGAGTCGCTCACGCAATATAAAAAATAATTCAAAAATTAGTTAAATAAATCAATAAACGATGTGCTCAGTCTGAAGGTGACAACATTTCTTTAACACATATTTGTTATATCAACACACAAAACCCATTTTTGTCAATAATATCATATAAAGACCATACCCACCATGTGTTTCTTGTCCTCCTGGAAGTGGGCGTTGACAAAAAGGCGCCCGGTGGCGTAAGCCAGGGCGTTCTCAACATAGTTCACACACTTATCCCAGCGAGGGGTCAGAGAGGTGGTTCCAGTGGTGACCTGATGGGTGTGCAGAGGTCAAAGTTACAAGATGACGTCTCTACATTTAGAAACAAGCATTTAATTAGTAGTAAAAGTTTAGCAAAAGGTGGGAGCTCAGCTTCAGTCTATTCATGAGTCCAAATGAGAAAATTAACATCATAATGAGCAATTTACTTATGTGTTGACATTGTAAAAGTTCTGAACTGTAACTAAACTTTCACTAATTTCAAAAGACAACAGATTCAGTATGCAACAGTAAACCTAACAGCTCAATACAAACAAACCGAATGTAAATCTCATTGTAAAAAAGCTTCAACTACAACTTTTCAACTTTAACAGTTTCAGCTTCAACTCATAATTTATTGTGATATTTTTTTATTATTATTTTAATTGTCAGTATTGATGTGTCAAGTGCCATTTGTTTGGAAACAGCTTATTTAATATGAAAGTAGCCAGTTAAACAGAGCCATCTATTGGTGTGGTTTGTAATTGTAGTCACCATTTCCAGGACATTTACATCCAACTCAAAATAAAAGCTTCTTATGAGTAGATATTAAACATTGAGAATTAAGCTTAAAGCAATGAAAAAAAAGATTTTGGTACATTATATATAATTATATATACACAAAGTCAGGAGATTAATAATAAAATGCTCTACACTTTTTCACAAATAGTTTGAATCAGTAATCTTTACTCTTTACATGATACATTATGT